ATCATCACTACAGTGATGGGAATGTTTCTAGCATATTTAAAACAAAAGTAGAGTAATGGGGAGGAATTTTCAGATAATAATATTAGCAATTTAATAAATTTTAGAAAATTGACTAGAAGGATCCAAATAATTGAAATTATTCTTGTTCAAATGAAATGGACAGACTTTCTCAAAAATCATGGAGGTACACGGTATATTTCTTTTCTAATCCATAGACAGAAACTATAGGTAAAGATCATTGTGAATAAAATTTCAGTAATATCATAAACAGTTGTTCACAACTGAGTCCTGCCCAGCATAGGCGTGCAATAGGCTGATTTGAGAAATAGTGACCTCGTGATGGGAGAGTGGGGAGCGTCGTGGTGGGAGGATGGGCAGCCTCTGTCAGGGAGGCGCTGTGGACTGCCTCCTGCGCTGCAGGGAGCGTCACCTCAGTGACCTCAAAGACCCGCCCTGATGTCAGATTCTGTCGTCTTTTCCCCTGGGTCGTTTTATGTTGCTGACCCTGCCTGCCCTTCTTCACATCGCCTGAGGATATTTTTATAAAATGTGTGTACACTGTAGCACAGCATCTTAAGATGAAATATGACCTAAGGAAGCTTTGTAATCTGTCAGAAAACCTAAGAGATATTCTCACCCAAAGATTATTTCTGGACTGGTGACCTCTGAAATCTCCTTCTATTATTTATCAACACAGCTTTGGGAAGTACTGTTTCATTGATTAGACCATGATTATCCTGTGGTTTGTTGTCCTGGATAAGTTATGTCACATATAGGTATCGAATTGTCACAAGCTATAAAAATGTTAAAAGAAATTGAGCTTATTTTCTCTGCATGGTTTCTGAGGAGAAGTTCTTGATTGTTGTACCATTTTTGAATTTGTTTCTCATAACCTGCCCCAAACACAATGACCTAAAACAACAATGCATGATTTACTGGGTTGACAGGGCTGTTCTGATGCAGGGTCACTTACACTGGTGCACTTAGGTATTACAGACCTAGGCACAGCTTGGATAATGGACAGCTGGGCCATGTCTTGGTGGCTGATTATCCTGGAATGGAATGTTGATTGGGATTATTATTTTTAAATCTATGATTTTATTTTTATAAATTGTAAAAGAGAGTTTTCTCTCATGTGGTAATTTCTGAGAAATAAGATAATGCAGTGGTACAAGTTACCGATTTGACAACTTATTCAAAGAAGTCTAATAAGATTGCCAAATGATGTTTGAAGAATCCGGTATATGTGATGTTTTATCTGTTCCCTCAGTTGAGCCTGCCTCTCTGGTCTAGGCTCATCCTTAGGTCTCCCGGGGGAGTGGCCTGTTAGGTAATAGCAGTTGGCCTGGAACAGCTTTCTAGATTAGCCATGCTCACTACATCCATGCTCCACAACTTGAACACTTGTGTGCTAGTGTTAGCTGATAGCTCCATTCCAGAGTTCTTTAAGCAAAGAGACTCAGAGGAGGCAGCTACATGTGATTCTGCTTTTTAAAGTTTTAGATTATTTAAGTTAAAGATGCAATATTTTAGTATTTTGGAAATTTATAAAACATAGACGTATAGAAAGGGAGTCTCTTCTTCATCCCTCCCTCAAATTCTACTCCTCTGGAAATAGTTTGTATGTTTGCACATCCCTTTCTTTGTATCCACTGACATAGATAATATGTGTGGGTTAATTTATGGCAATAAGAATTGCCTTAAACATATACATTCTTATACAAACTGTTTTAATTATTTAAAAATGCATTTGTAAATCTTCATGGTATTAACTTATATTTTCAACTCATTTGATTGACAAGTTATTTATTTATTTATTTATTTTTTGCAGGCAGAGTTAGACAGTGAGAGAGAGAGAAAAAGACAAAAACTTTTTGTCTTTGTCTTTGTTTACCACTCAAATGACCACAAGAGAAAATGGTCTTCCTTCCGTTGGTTCACCCTCAAAATGGCCGCTACGGCTGGCACCCTGTTTTAATAACTACATTCTGTAACATAGTGGAAATGTGCCATAATTTGTCAGTACTCTGTTGATTATATCTAGGATTTTGCACACAAGCTATTTGCTGAGATAAATGAATAAAACTCTTGGACTTTCTTGGAAATTAATAACCTTATACATACAGATGTTTTTCTTTTAATTTTTACTTATTTATTTCAGGAGTATAATGACACAGAAAGGCACATAGAGAGAGGAAACTCCCATCCACTTGTCCCACTATAGCAGGGACAAGATGAAGACACAGCCAGCAGCCAGGAGCTCAGTCCAGGTCTCCCTTGTGGGTGGCAGGGACTCAACTTCTTCATCATCTGCTGCCTCCTGGAGTGAGCATTAGCAGGAAGCTGGATTGGGAATGAAGGTAGCACCCCATCTCAGGTGTGCAGATGTGAGATGCAGACATCCTGAGCAGTGTCTTACTGCCGCGCCAAATAGCCGCAGCATTTCTTTATGATGACTTACCAAATATAAGCCTACTGGGCCATAGTGTCAGTACATTTTTCAGTATAATGAATGCTGACCGATTACCTTTATAAAAGTAGCAGAATGATATATTTTGGTAGTTTGAGAGACTATTTCCTATGTCCTTATGATTTGTTTGACTTTTATCAAAATAGAATGTACATGGTTTCAAAAAGTAAAGTAGTACAGATAGTGATGTCCTTCTTTCTCCTCAAGTTTGATGTTAACCTGAAATTGTTTTCAATTCATTTAAATGTTTCTTCTGGTTTCTGCTTCTCCATATCTGAATATGTGAGGTACTTCTGCGGTTTTCTTGGTTGGTCTGAGGCATTGTTTCCCTGTCTCTTTCCCATGGGCTATTTCAGTCCCCAACCACCATTTCATCCTGCAAGTATCACTATGTAGTTGTCTCACAGATTGGCTAAATATATATTCTGCACAAATATTACTATAACTATCTTAGTTAACACTTTTCACAGTTGAGCCATGTGGTGTCTATTTTCCTCTGAATTAATCATTTTCTTGTTTTCCTGTTTGTTTTCTTTATACCCACCCCTTAATGAAGTGTCACCAATCCTTGTCCAGAGAAGTAAACCTTCTCAATATGATCAAATACATCAAGTAAACTTAACTTCTCTTTATTTTATATTTATATTTCATTTCATTTCATTTAAAACGTTGTAGAGACATCTCTCCTGTAGTTTTCCATCCTTTTTTTCTACTCTTGACTTTGGATTTTAGACTTTTTCCTCAGCTGTCTTGTGAGACTTTACTTCGCTGTCATCTGAAAATTTCCTTTTCCATTTTCATAAGTGGTATTACCAGTTTTTTGTATCCCAATCCTTTCAAGTTCTCAGCTTACTTAATCATTTTGGTATAGCACTCCCACTTGGAGTTTTCTGTAAAGGAGTGCTTCCAAGATGAATTTGTGAGTCCTTATGAGCATCTCAGTTGGTTTCTTAGGTGGGCATGTAATTCTTAGAGATAATCTTCAGCTGGAATTTTGAAAGAATTGCTTTCTTGTCTTTGAAGTCCATGTATTGCTATTATACTGATACCTATTTAGGTTCCAATTTTTGTCTTAACTATTTTATTTATTTTTAAGATTTATATATTTATTTATTAGAAAGGGATAGTGACAGGGAGGAAGGGCGGGGGGAGAGAGAGAGAGAGAAACACGGAGGGAGAGTGAGAAATCTTTCATTTGCTGGTTTACCCCCCAAATGACCACAATAGCTAGGGCTGGGCCAAGTGCCAGAAATTTCATCTGGGTGACAGGAAATCAAGTAGTTGGATCATCCTCTGCTGCCATAAAGGCACACAAACAGGAAGCTGGATTAGAAGTAAAGGAACAGGAACTAAAATCAGCTTTCCAACATGGGATGTGGGCATCTTGAGTCACGGAATAACCTGATACAAAAAAAAAAAAAAAAAAAAAAGCCTGGACCTAAAGTGTTAGTGATCTTTTCTTTACTGCCACAATTTTAAATATTTTTCATAATATGCCTTTAATTCAGCTGGATATTTAATAAATCCTGGAAAACAATTCCATTTATTATTTTGACATTGTCCCCTGAGTTGATGTATTAATGCTTTTTAAACTTTTATTTAATAAATATGTTTCCAAAGTACAACTTTCGAATTTTAGAGGCTCCTCCTCCCCATAACCTCCCTCCCACCTGCAACCATCCCATCTCCCACTCCCTCTCCCATCCCATTCTTCATCATGATTCTTTTTCAATTATCTTTATATATAGAAGATCAACTTAGTATATACTAAGTAAAGATTTCAACAGACTGCACCCACACAGAAATACAAAGTATAGAGTACTGTTTGGGTAGTAGTTTTACCATTAATTTGCATAGTACAACATGATAATGCTTAAATTGTGTGAAGCATTTACTTTCTTGGTGTTCTCTTTAGAGACTTAGGTTCCAGTTTTCTTTACCTAGTTAAATCCACTTACCACTCATCAGTCCACTTTTCCTCTTTAAAAAAATGTGATGCTATTTCTAGCCTAATATTGTCTTCTCTCCTTGGTCAACTAATTATTTGAGGAAAAAAGATCCCTTGACTCTAATATAATTTTACTGAGATTTTTGGAAGTGAAGATATATCTATATCTATATATACATATATAGATATACACACACACATTTGGTCTTTTTGATTTTAGAAGACGTGACAAGAAAGTCTTTAATATTTACTAAGTTTTTATTTATTTTAAGCTACTAACATGATACAAAATATACTTTGCCTGTGCGTTTCCCCCTACATTACAGAAATGATGAATTTTATATCAATTCCTGAGTTTTGCTTTCTGATATATGCTGCCCCACTTCCCTTTACTTGTTCAGTTAAAGCATTTTCTTCAAATGGACTTTATATCTTCCAGTCTGCTCACAAGAAAACCATCTCCACTTTAAACTCTTTTTATTCTGTACATTGATCTTGGTACAGTCTTTCACATAATGATGAGTAGTGAGTTCGTATCATTATGCTGCATGCTTTTGAAATAACCATTTTTTTTAAACATAGTGCCAAGGTCAGTAGAGCATCATAAGTGGAACTGGCGGACTAAACCAGTAAGCCGTGATTTTGATGAATTGAACCACATCCTTCAAGAGAGCAAGAAGCTGGGGAAAGCCCTTGAGAATCTCTCTAGAAGTAAGTTCATTTACTTGATTCTAATTGAAATTCCTAAGTAGTGTTAAAGCAGACACATTCATTACTATTGCCAATAACCCATTTCCAACATCCTTGTTATGATTCTGTGAGAGGCTGAGGAGTTCCAAGGTCATGAGACTGGAAATGGGGATTGATTCTGCATTTTACATACATTCGTGGGTTGACTGGTAGGAATGAGTAGAGGGGTTGTGAAACCACTCATAGCTGTTTGGCTCCAACCTTTCTACATGGTCTTTGTTACGCAGTTCAAATGTGCCTGCAATGATATCTTCTTCATTCTTCTCTTTTGAAACACATTGTTTTATGTTTTTCTCATTAATACGCATATCCATTGTTTTTATGAGTTTTTATTTATTTGAGATGTAGAGCCAATCCCAGCTCTGGTAACCAGGAGTCAGGATCTTCTTTCGGGTGTCCCTTGTGGGTGCAGGGGCCCAAACACTTGGGCCATGTCCCACTGGTTTCCCAGACCATTAGCAGGGAGATGGATTGGAATATGTGCAGCTAGTACTCGAACCGACACCCATATGGGATTCTGGCACCACAGGCTTAGCCTACTACACCACAGAACTAGCCCCATCTCTAAGCATCTTAAGGGTGGTGCCTGGGCCAGATTCTTCCTTGAATCCTTTCAGAGCTTAGTACAGTGCCTTGTAACTTTTTTTTTTTTTTAATCAACAACTGTAATCTCAGGGCCTGGGTTAGAGGTTTTGCTCTGCCACCCAGGGGGTGAATGACCTCATGTAAATCATTAAACCATCAAGAATCTTGGTTTTCTCATTTCCCAAACCAAAAGATATTGTTGTGCTTCTTTCTTCTGGTGTATTTGAGGGCTTACAAGAATACCTTTCAAGTAAAAGCTTTTAAATAAATGTTATTGTTATGAGCATAGGCAATCATAAAGGCATTTTGATTTGATAAAGGTATTCTATATATGTTGACATGCATATATGCTTTATGGTTTTAGTAGTAATTTCAAAGTATTTATATCTTTTTTGGGTTCAGTTATTTCTCAATGTTAAAAGTTAGGCACCATTAGGAACACATTAATGCATGACCTCGTTAAAATTTTCTTTTGATACCATAGAGTATTAAAATTTCTTAAATGGAAAGTAGTTAAAACAGTAGCAAATTCTAGTGGATTGTATTTTAGCACATATAGGGTTTTAAAAAAGATGATATAGCTTTATTAATTTCATAATTTATATGAAAGTTAAACATTCTTCTATTGGTATATTTTGAGAGAAGTATCAGGCTGACAACTCATTCTCTAATTCAACAGTAAATTTATTACTCATATTTTAGTTACTAGAAGAATAAAAGAGATGGAATTTTCCTCTAGATATGATCAAAAGGAATAATCAGCATCTTGATACTTTGAACTTTTCCAGCATCATATCCATCTAAGGGAAAAAGATTGGAAACTTTTAGTGATTTCCCTATTTTAATAGAATTCTGATGAGAATTCTCCCTTTGCTTTATCTTAGTGTACATTCTAATAAAAAGCTTGCATATTTTAGAAGCATCTTTTAGTTGAGATTGACAACAAATAATCACTTACATCTATCAGAATTATAGAATTAGCTTGGCAGCTGTCAACCTACAGAGATGTAAGATATACATACACATACATACATGTACACACATACATGGTTCAAATATAACAAGGAAGACTAGATAATCTCTCCAGTTTGAAAATATGATTTTTGCTTAGTGACAACTGCATCATATTCCTTTTCTGGATTTTTGCAGACCTTGCAGTATAACTGTGGCAATCTTCGTGATATTTTTCCTGTAAAGGTAGACATGGTCGAGTGACTTACTGTGGCTGGTAATGTCACATGGTTATAGTGTGCTAGGCACAGTGGCTTTTTGGCTTCCTGGATTCCTGGCTTTATAACATTTCTGCATTTTCTACAAACATTACTTCTCTCTTCCTAGGAGCCAGGATTCATAATTAATTATTCAAGTGCTTGCTCCCATGTAATTTTCAACTAGCAAGGAAATTTGATTTTAAATAGGGAGTTGTAAAGATGGAAGGATTTCACATTCTAACATTGTACATCTCTTTTAGTGAATGTGATTCAAAGGCCCCAGAGCATTATTCTTCTCCTGCATGTTATGAGCTCCTGTTATCTCATTACTTGTCACATTAACCTCAATCCATTGATTAAGGTGGTTTTCTGTCACATCTCTTCACTGTAAATTTAGTATTCTTCTCTTTGTTGATAATAAATATTTTAAGAATACTTCGAATCTATGAAAATATCTTGTTTCTCTTCAAAAATTCAACCACTAGGATCTTCCCTGCCACAATTATCATTTGTTGTCCTGAATGTAGTTTTCTATTACTCTCTTCTACATTTAGTCATTGAAATTCCTCTGCAGTTAAGAGAAAGGAGGCTGGCGCCGCGGCTCACTAGGCTAATCCTCCACCTTGCGGCGCCAGCACACCGGTTTCTACTCCCGGTCGGGGCGCCGGATTCTGTCCCGGTTGCCCCTCTTCCAGGTCAGTTCTCTGCTGTGGCCAGGGAGTGCAGTGGAGGATGGCCCAAGTGCTTGGGCCCTGCACCCCATGGGCGGCCAGGATAAGTACCTGGCTCCTGCCATCGGATTAGCGCGGTGCGCTGGCCACAGCACGCCGGCCGCGGCGGCCATTGGAGGGTGAACCAATGGCAAAAAGAAGACCTTTCTCTCTGTCTCTCTCTCACTGTCCACTCTGCCTGTCAAAAAAAAAAAAAAAAAAAAAGAGAGAGAGAGAAAGGAATACAAACTTTTAAGCATTGCAATAGTTATAGGGCCTATTCACTGTTGCTTGTGACTGGCCATATGTCTGTAAATATTTAGGTATGTATATAGAATAATTGTGCATATACATGTAAGTGTCATTACAAATACACTTGTCAATAGATATTGACACAAGGAAGCTAAGGTTTGTATATATTCAAAGCCAATTCCCACATATTTTTCTCAGTATTGAAAATAATAAATTTGCTTGATTAAATTTACTCAATATCTTTTTAAAGAAATAACATCTAGAACTAGAGCAAGGTACTGTGATGTAATGGATAAAGCCACCACCTGTGATGCCAGCATCCCACATGAATGTTGGTTGGGGCCCCAGCTGCTCCACTTCCAGTCCAGCTCTCTGGTAATGGCCTAGGAAAGCTGTAGAAGATGACCCAAATGCTTGGAAACTGATATCCAAATGGCAAACCTGGAAGAAGCTCCTGGTTCCTGGATGTAGCCTGGCCCATCCTTGGCCAATGCAGCCATCTAGAAGCAAACCAGCAGATGGAAATTTTTTTTCTTTGTCCCTCCCTTTCTCTATAATTCTGACTTTCAAATAAATAAGTAACTTTTTTTTTTAAAAAAAGAGACAACATCTAGGATGGACAAATTTGTTAAGACTCTAATATTGCCTTTTCTACCTAATTTTTGAAAATATTTACCTCTTTTTTTGAAAGATTTATTTTATTTATTTGAAAGAGTTACAGAGACAGAAATAGAGAGAGTGAGAGAGAGGTCTTCCATCTGCTGGTTCTTACCCCAAATAGCTGCAACGGCTGGAGCTGAGCTGATCAGAAGCCTGGTCTCCCATGTGGGTGTGGGGCCCAAGGACTTGGGCCATCTGCTGCTTTCCCAGGAACATTAGCGTGGAGCTGGATCAGAAGTAGAACAGTCAGGATTCAAACTGGTGCCCATATAGGATGTCAGCACTGCAGTCCAGGGCTTTAACTGAGCCACAGTGTCTGCCCCAAAACAGTTAGAGAAAGAGAGGGCAAATGAGTTAACTGTCATCAACTGATTCATTTTCTAAATACCTGCCACAGCTAGGACCAAGTCAAAGCTAGGAGAAGGAACTCAATTTGAATCTCTCATGTGGATGGCAAGAAACTAGTTACATGAGTTTTTACTGTTGATTCCCAGGGTGTACTTTGGCAGAGAGTTGGAATTGGGAATGGAGCCAAGATAAAACCAGGTATTCTGATACAGGATGCAGGTGTCCCTACCAGTGTCATGACTGCTAGCCAAATGCCTACCTCATCTACATTTTTCATAATTCCACTTTCTACTTATTTCACAGACATATTTGCAAAAGTAACAGACCAGCTCTAAAAAAGTAGAAATCTGAAGCATCTTTTGTGATTATTATTATGAAATGGTCTAGTGCCATCTAAATAAGTAATTTTGTTTCCTAAAATTCACATAAAATAATATCTCTCCTGGAAATCTATGTATTTGTACCTGCATCTCTGTGTGTGTGTGAGTGTGTGTATGTATGGAAAGTGTTTGGTTGGTGATCAAGATGCTGCTCCAGATGCCTGCATCCCATGTCAGAGTGTCTGAGTTTGAGTCCCAGCTCTGCTTCTGATTCAAGATTCCTGCTGGTGTGCACACTGTGGGGTTGTGGTAACGCCTTAAGTACTTGGGTCTCAGCCACACATGTGGAAGGCCTGAACTGAGTTCTGGGCTTTGGTCTGGCACGGTTTAGCTATTATGATCATTTGGGGAGTGAACCAGTGGATAGAAGATCTCTCTGTCATTCTGCCTATATATATTATATCTATATAATCTGCATATATATTATTAATATATACATATTATCTTATCTATAGCTGATCAATAACTTTAGGAAATGTTTTTCAGTGAATGAAAGCAAATGACACATTTTTATTAGACATTCAGTTTATCATTCTGCATTCTTCTGTGTCAAACAGTAACAGACTGTATTTTGTCATTCTGAACATCTCATTTAACTGTACTTAAACCACACAGACACACTCACTTGAGCTTGCAGTCAAAGCATGAAGTCAATCAATGTCAGGGACACAGTTTTAGTTTGATTTTAGAAAATCATCCTATGCCATATCCTTTTTTGATGCATTAATGTGCATCACCTAAAACAGTTCAAGGACTGTCCAGGAGAGAGATCTGGACAGAAAGATGGCTTGGTCCCTGCCCTGCCACTAGCTGGT